AATATCTACAGTCTTATTTACAAACTTGGTACAGTCAATCAGCACCAAGGAAAATAAATGGCACCTCTTGCCTTGCAAACACCAGCCAATAATGTGTCAAGAAGCATTTTGTATAAGGCATTTCAGCTTCCCAATATGCATTTTCTTTCAACTACATTATATGTGCACAACAAATAAAATCCTCAAATAGGTATGTTAAGACATTTCTTGCTTTTGGAAAGGACTGCTCTGGAACACCAAGAACTTCATAGTGAGGGGTCCACTTAAGAGTCAAGAAGGTTTCATTACATCCAAGAAGCTCAAATCAAGTATCTTTCTAAAGAGTGTGCTACAGCTCATATAGCCACCAGTATAGAGCTAACATTGGCCACGTTAATATAAACTTAGAGCGAGGAAAAGTCTTTTGTACGATAGGCTTCTAACAAGAAGGGCAGAAAAAAAAAGCTACTTATGTTTTAAAACAAAAACCTCGAGAACAGACTGAATGTCTTCAAGAATTACACAGACTGCTGCTAAATGTTTTCAGATGATTCTTATTGTTGGAGACATATGGAAAAACAAAGTGTATTGCTACGGTTTGTATGTCTTGCAGACTAGTAAACAAACAGAATCCAAGTGTAACGTCGTCGCCTACGAAACTGGGGATACTACTCTGCCACATTGGTTTGAATAAAAGTAGTTTCAGTCTCCAACAAAATCAATCCAGACACAATTAACATGTAAATTTAGGATCAGAAGTCAGAAAATGTCTCAGAACTGAGAACATGCTCTCAAAAAAGCAAGTGGATGAATAAATGCTGACAAATTGTGACTAAGTTTCCACTACCCCAATCACATAAGAAGGAACCACTATAATTCATGAAATGCCTACAATTTCATATCCAGCAAGCCTTTGAAAATACCATAAGCTATGAAGAAGGGTGAACATTATAAATAATACTTTAAAACTATTTGAGGTTTTTGCTAAATTTAAGCCTTTTAAACTCTAAATGTTTTATTTTATGTTTAGTATATCAAAAGAAAACACAAAATATTACAAACGTCAAAGACGCCTTGTGTCACTGCCAAAACATTGTCCATTACTGTACATTGTGGCAGAGCAGACTTTCTACATAAACACATCAGATAAATCATTTTACCCAGACCCAGCTGACGTCAAAAGAACAATGAAGAATTGATAACACCTACCGTAATTTCCGCACTATAAGTCGCACCTAAAAACCTTCAATTTTCTCAAAAAACGACAGTGCACCTTATAATCTGGTGCGCCTTATATATGGACCAATATTGAGCCACAATAGGTCTAGCAACTACGGTAAGCAGCCGCCGATTTCATTTTCGCCCGTAAAAGAAGAAGCGCGCGGTGCATGCAGGGATAGTTATCAGAACGCTGGTTTGTTAATAAAGTTAAACTTTATTAACAAAAAAAAAATAAAAAAAAGGGGGGGGGGGGAGGAAAAAAAGACTGTGGGGGGCAAGGGTAGGTGGGTTTTGGTTATACAGAAA